GTGACTACTACTTGTCATATTTTCGTGACTTCTGAATAGCCTCATTAGCCAGTAGGCAAAATATTCAGGCATGGACCCTAAACTGACTAGTCTTGCTAACCAGATCCATGGACCCTGAGACTGTGCAACATTAGACAAAGGAGATGCCAGAGGCATCTGATAGCAACAACACTCCCACCCAAAAACATAACTGTACTATCTAGGATGAGAGCAAAGGAGATTTCTTTGAAAGGAAACTCAGCTAGGGTAGTCTTTCTCCATAGTCTCCAGAAACCATCCCTTCATTGCTTTGTGCAACACCCTAAAGGCACTGATTTCCATCTCTTTGCCAGGCTCTTGATTTCCACAGCAGCAAGAGGAAAAGCTAAATGAAAGATATGATATAAAATTGCACTAGGGAGGGAGGATAAAATTCTCTATATCTTGCCTTTAGCTCATGAGACAAAGAAAGGAAAGAAGGAAAGAGACAGCAAGTAGGAGCCGGCAAAGACAATCACATCGCTACATCTTCTATCCATTCATTCAAAAACTACTTCTTGTGTGCCAAGCACTCAGGTACTGGGGATAGAACACTGAACACTGTAAAAATAGTTCCTGACATGGAAAAGCTCAGGCTAGTGAAAGAAATGTTTAGGTATGTGATGAATGCTAAAGAGATCTAGGTAAGCCAGTCCATATAGGAGGAAAATAAACACTAGGATGATTATGGAAGGCCTCGCAAAAATAGAGCATCTTATGTGGAAGCTAAAGAATAAGCCAAATTTCTGCCAAATCTCAGAGAGGAGAGGAGACTGGTTTCTTTAAAAACACTGAAATATTTCACTGTTGCGGGATCATAGGTTATAAGCGGCACACTGAGGCTAAAGAGGTAGGCAGAGATCAAAGACAGTAAGTGTAACACATCTAGATCACAAGGGTTATAGAGAACCTCCAAAGGGTCTTGGGGGGTTGTGATATGATCACAGGGACTTTTTTTAAATGTATTAATGACACATTTATTATTAATAAGCCATAAACACATAAGGTGTACCTTTTATTAACAGGCTAAAGCCCTTCATTACTGTCCCTTATAACTGCCTCATTACTGATCTTCATAGAAGGTCTTTAAAAACCCTGAGATCCCAGTGGGCCTGGGCGGATAGACAGTTACATGAGATGCTGTCTTCACAGGTGGCAGAGCGAAGACAGCACCAAGGAATTCTTAATCAGAGTTAGCCAGTAACACAATACTACTCGCTCTTTCTGTGGAACTGTCCAGAAATGAAAGCAGGGTTTACCAACTTTAACACCTCAGTTGGAGCAGATAGTTCTGGTGTGTGTATGCTTTAGAGGGAAGAATGGTATGCACTTTAGAATGCTTAACAGTATCCTTGTCCTCTACCCATGATGCACCAGTAGCTAGCATCACTCTAAAATCATGTTGCCAAATTTTTTGGTAAACATTGCTAAACGCTCTTGTGGGTGGAGCAGTTGTTTCCAGTTAAGAACCACTAAGATGGGAGGATAGGGATATAGCTTACTGGTAAAGCACTATGCATATATGAAGTCATGAGGTCAATCTCCACTATCACAGAAAGCTAACAAGTAGAAAACCTACCCCATGGAACCTTTCCTTCCCCAGGATCTGCAGCACCTTCAGTGCCATGTAGTGCAGAAGCTGATAGAAAGAAGTTACTCTTCAGGAATCCTGCTCCTGACAGGAAGCTATATGGAGAGAGCTCAAAACTACACAGGGAATGCCCCTGGTTAAGGAAGTGAAAGGATCTTAATATACTAAAGTTCTGTCCCTTCTCTTAGAACCACCTAGCTGTAACATGTTCCTGGAGAGGTTGGTGGTCAACTACTCTTAAAAGCTGCCGAGGGCAGGTACTAGAGGAGCACAGCTGGAACCAGATGGGTGGATGCCATTACTGAAGGTCACGACAAAGGCTAGGTGGCACTCCTTCAGGATTCTGCCATTCTGTCCAAGGTGAGAGATGGAGGCTTAGCAGGGAGGCCTGAAAAGGCAGCAGCAAACTTCACAGGATCAACAGAGGATGGGAATGGAGGAGCTCCTATCTGCCAGTAAACCTGTACCTAGGTAACTGTCAAGGTCATTGATTTGAAAGCTCAGAATTGCCCAGTCCTAATACCGCCTTTCTAACTAAGTGATCTCTGCTAGAAGAGCATTTCTCTCTGAGTATTAAATGTCCACATACCTCACATGGGAATTGTGAACTCTCCCCAATTATCACTGTGGCTATGAGAAACTCAGGGGACACCAGAGAGCCAACAAATATGATTTTTGATGATTGCTACTTACTGCAAGGGAAGAATCAGAAGGCAAAAGAGGAATGCAGGAAGAATAAATACAGGAAGAGTAGGGAGGAAAGGCTCATAGACACAAAGGGTGGAGGCTGCTGAGAAAGGATGAGCCCAGGCTCATTGACATGGCCTTCAGATAGGCATCCATATCATGACATACTTATTTAAATCACAGAAGTTTCAGGATAAAACTAAACAATAACAAGCAATTGATATGGACTGGAAATCCACTGAATAGTCTATGGAAGGACTCCAGAAGGATAACTGCTCTATTGATGGATATTTCAGGTATCCTATGTGAAGGCAATTGACATCTGGATGGCTGTATGCCTACTCTTTGTATTCGCTGCCCTGCTTGAGTATGCTGCCGTCAATTTTGTCTCTCGTCAGCACAAGGAATTTATGAGACTTCGTAGAAGGCAGAGACGGCAACGCATGGTGAGTACCAACAGGGAGGGTTCTACTTCCTTTCTCCTTTGAACTCCTTCCTCTTTATTAACCCTCCCACAAACCAAGTCCCAATCTAGGGCTCTAGTACTGGGCAACCAGGAATCCCAGATTCTAGTCCCAGGCTGGTGACAGTAAAATTAAATACTTGTTTGTTTTATCTATCCAATGGGACATTAACCCCTATAAGGTAGTGGAGGGATTAAGAGTATGGCATATAGTAAGCACTTAAAATATGTTAACCAAGGTTATGCATAATGGTGCATGCCCTTAATCCCAGCACTTGGGAGGCAGAGGCAAGAGGATCTCTGTGAGTTTGGGATCAGTCTGATCTACAGAGAGAGTTCCAGGGCAGCCAGGACTACATACAAATCCTGTCTCAAAAAATAAATAAACAAAAGCATATTTGCCAGTATTAGATCCTTATTGACTTAGCACAAATGCTACTGCTTTCAGAAGTAACTGTAGGGTAAAAAGGGCCAGCCAAAACACACACCCTGACCCTGAAACCAGAGCCAGTGAAAGAAAGACACCCTGGCCCTGAATCCAGAGCCAAAGGGTTAAAAAGGGTCAGTAAAAAAAAAAAAAAAAAAAAAAAAAAAAAAAAAAAAAACATACTTTGGTCCTGAAATGGGAGCCAAAGAAACACACTCTGTCCCTGATCAACTCAGCACAAAAACCAACCAATCCCTGAACATGAAATCCAGCCAATATCTGAGATTGTCCAAACTCAGGGATTGAAATCTGACCAATTCCCACCCTGAAAATTTTCACCCTGGAAAAACTTCACCCCTATGAAGCCCTATATAAGCCCTGTGCCTGTTGAGTTTGCTGTTGCTCTTTTCCCACCCTGGCAGAGGCAGCCACCCTCCTGGATTCTTCCCTCCCAATAAATCTCTTGAATGAGGTTTGGGTGAGGTCTTCTTTCACCAGAATGGAGTGGCTGGAGCAGAGCCGAGTTGAGCAGAACTGTAACAACTTTGCTGGGGAAACCTTCCCTTGCCAGAGTAGAGTTGTTACATTGGGAAAACCTTTTCCTGGGGCAGGACTATAAGCTGCTACACTTAAGGTGACTCTGTGGTACTCCTGGGCTCCCAAATACCAGGATCCCTTTCCATCTGAGCTGCAATACTCAGTTTCTAGTTGTAATAATAATCGTTGTTTCTGGTTTTCCTTATATCAAGAAGGAAGGTACTCTAAGTTATCCTACTGGCAAGAACTCAGAGTCAGACACTAGTACCTTTCAAGAGGAGTACTGTAAGATGGTCCCTATATTTGAATTGTAATTGAAAGATCACTACTTGCCTCTTCTGACTGTAGGATGTGTGCTGATCTTCAACAGACACTTCGGAGTTGTTAGGCTTGAGTGGTGTCCTTCCTCACTCCTGTTTGTTAGCCCCATTCCTTCCATAGCAGAGTGATCACCAAGGTGGGGGGGGAGATAGAAGAGGAAGTTGTCATGACAACAGAAGCAGTTTTCCCTCAATTGCCCAGACAATAGGCACTAGGTAAGTTGTCATGACAACAGAGATGTCTGAGCTACCCAGAGAAAAAAAAAGCAAGCTCCAATTACAGAAAAATCAAAAGCCTTGCTCCTGGTTGCTTAATCTTTAGAAGCACAATGTCTCAAGCTTTGACTCCTTGTTTTCTGCCTAATCCAGAGGCTTCAAAACCAAAAAGCCAAGCACATGAGTACTTTTGGAGGACAAAAACCAAATTAACCAAACCTACTGTTAAAAATCTTGACTCTAGGGGGCAGCAGATGTAGCTCAGGGGCAAAGTGCTTGCCTAGCATATACATAAATCATGAATTTGATCCACAGTGTCACACAGACACATACACACACAAATTCTGACTCTAGCCTATCAGAGACATAGTAATACTTTGTTCTTCCTAATACCCAACTCCCACCTCGGTTGCTCCTAGAGCACCCCTCCCATATGACTTCTAATGATCACACAAACTGCATGATTTCACATTTCTTTCTGGGGAAAACGGCTCCTGTCTCATGTATATTTTTCTGAATACCAATTCTTTGCTCTTTAGTTTATTCACGGGTCCTAAATAGTGAGCCCTCTAGTGGATGGATCTACAATTGCATTTCTTTGAATACATTTTTCCATAAGACTTCTTGCCTCATTAGCTCAGGTAGACTGCTTCAGTGGGTGACTCCATCATGGTCTTGACCTCTTTGCTCATATTCTCACTCCTTCCATTCTTCAACTGGACCTTGGGGGCTCAGTCCAGTGCTCTACTGCGGGTCTCTGCCTCTGTTTCCATCAGTTGCTGGATGAAGGTTCTATGGTGATATTTAAGATATTCATCAGTTTGACCACAGGGCAAGGCCAGTTTGGGCACCATCTCCTCTACTGCTTAGGGTCTTAGCTGAGGTCATCCTTGTGGATCTCTGGGAATTTCTCTAGAGCCAGGTTTCTTGCTAACCCCATAATGGTTCCCTCCTCAACTCCTCCCTTCTCCCCTCCTCTTCCTTTTTTCCCCTCCCTTCTCCCTCCACTGTTATGTTCTCCATTTTACCAGGTGATCTTGTCTATTTTGACTTTTCAGGTGGATCTATATGTTTTTCTTTGGGTTCACCTTGTTACTTAGCTTCTCTAAGATCATGAACTATAGGCTCACTATCCTTTGTTTATAGCTAGTATCTACTTATGAGTACATACCATCTTTATCTTTTTGGGTCTGGGTTACCTCACTCAGGATGGTATTTTCTATTCCATCCATTTGCATGCAAAATTCAAGATGTCATTGTTTTTTACTGCTGAGTAGTACTCTTATAACACCAGCTGGCCTGGGAAGGAACAAGCATGGGATGAAACCAGTCCCTCTGAATGTGGTTGACAGTTACATGGCTGGGGCAGACTGAGGGGCCACTGGAATTGCCACCAGGATTCGCCTCTGCTGCTTGTGCTGGCTTTTTGGGAGCCTGTTCTCTTTGGATCGACACCTTGCTCAGCCTAGATATAGTGGGGAGGGCCTTAGACCTTCCCCAGGGTCACAGTGTGCCTTGTCCTCTCTGGGGAATGGATGGAAGGTGGGTGGGTTGGGGTGGAGGGAATGCGAAGAGGGGAGGGAGTGGGAATTTGGATTGGGTATTATGACGAAAAAAGTTGGGTTTTTTAAAAGACTTATTGCCTCATAGTGGGGACAGGAAAACATGTACAGAGTTAGCAGAGGAAAAGAAAACAGATTATCCCTTTTCTAAAATAGTATCTTTATTATTTTAGACTATCTTGACCTCTTCTTTAGTTGTGTGAAACTTGTCTGCAGGTACCAAAATCATTCATAGGAGTTTTTGATGCATTTTAACATTGCCTTCCTAGGAATGAACAGCAGGTCATCAAATAGTCTAGAGTCCCTTTTCTACCTAACATGCCTGTGTTGACGTCCCAGTAACAAAGATTGCTAGTTACCACAGAGCTACTCAGCTTGACCTCAGTCCCACCTCCTATCCTGTGCCCATTCAACCAGCTACTGCCCACATTTTGTTTGCTCGTGTTTATATGCAGGTTGGCATGTGCTTATAACAGAGTGTGCCACCATATAGTTATTACAAAGTTACTTAGTAGTTGCTTGATGCCTAAATAGGACACTGTGGCTTGCCTAAAAGTGGGCTGTGGCTTATTATTAATGTGAATAAAGCCTGAAACCCAAATCTGTGCCATAATACCCCTCTCTTGAGCTTCCTAAAGCTAATGTGACCCCAGTGTACTAAACAGGAATCCTGGATGCCCTAAACTGGCTAAAGAAGTTGACAGAGAGCTCATGTTTGTCTAGACCTTCTTTTGGGGCCTTGATGTTCCAGTAAAAGAACTAGAAACCTTCAGCCTGGGAAAACCCAATGGAAGAAGAGAGAAATATTATAATTCTCAGGAGCCCAGAGTCAAGGTCACGACAGGGTTCTTCAGGAGCCAGTCAACTGTCCGTCTAGCTCTAGGGCTAGTCATTGTCTTTCTAACCTCTCCTCAACCACTTGTCTCCCCAACATAGTGGTCTTCTCCCGCAGTGCTGCCAAAAATAGTGGGTGTTTTGCACATGCTTCTGCTTTGTCTTCCCAGATGGTCTAAATGATTCAGAGGAAAGGGTGGATTCTCACCATCCCTGCAGGGTTAGCCCCTGGCTCTGAACACAGCAGCCAAAGGCAAAGGCTGTCAAACTGCACAGACAAAACTTCTTGATGTTATTAATACAATAACTTGAGAACTAGAAAAATTACAAAATAGCAGCAAATCCTCTCGGGAACTTACTTTCGGAAGCTTGTTCACCTCTCCATCCGCTATTGAGTACTCCACTCCATTTCCAATTTCTTATCCTGCTTGTCTCCCCTGACATTTATCACTCCTTCCCATCTTCATACCCCTTCTCCACTGGGCATTTATTTCCCAGGCTGGCTAGGGTCTAGCTTCCTTCTCTAGCCTCTCAGCACTCTGCTCCTAGATATGCAGAAAAATTCAATTCTATTTCAATAACCATGGAAATTGCAAAGTAATATTGAATGGCACATTGACACTCCCCAACACATAAATACTTACCACTCAGAATCTGTCGTAAATATCTAATATCTAAACCCAGGCCTCTTTATCCTTGGATTTTAGGGTATTCATCTTTCCTGGACCATAAAAGATACATATTAAAATTAAAAAGAGCCAAGAGCAGCTTACTTTACTAGATATATTTTTCCCTTCTCTATGAAATTACATTTTTAAGCCTGGGAAATGTTTCCAAATAATTTCCCTCAGATTTACTGGATAAAAGGAGAAAAATTGGATTTATAAAAACAGAACTAGCAGTTCGATCTAACTTTCTCCATTAGAAGTTTTTCTCTCAATACCTATATTCTGTAGTTGTATCTTCTAGTTGGGTTAGTGAAGAGTGGGGTACAAGGTCCTGAACTCGATCACTAGCAGGATTCTTTTAAAAAACTTTACTTACCGCTCTCACTTTTCAATTCCTTCTGAGATACTCTGTTTGCCTCTGGTTCTTTACCTGTATAATGGACCCAGCAAACCTCTCCTGTAGAAAGAGTGTGAAAATTAATTGCAGAACGCATGTGAGATGAATCAAGATCTTTGATAACAGAGGCTAAAATGGCAAGTGAGCAAAGCCTTCAGGCCGCCAAACTGTAACCAGTCCAAGTTGAAGAGCAGGGTAGTGAACTCACTCTGACATACATACATACAACATATATATACACACATACAACTCTCCCTGAAGACCCTGATAAATCAAGAGTAGGACAGCAAAGTTCTGTGATGCGCAGACTTTAATTTTTTCCTCTGTTCAAAGTGCTACTCCCTTTGGAGAAGCCAAAGGCTACGGAGCCATTGTACAGTGGGGGAAGTGCTTCATAACTGAGTGAGAACCCTTTCTGAGCGGACTCTTGAGTTTGGGACCCTGGCAAGATATGGGCATCACAAAACAAAAGGTTACTCCATTCCTTATGTCCTGAAGCATGTGGTTCATTAGCCCAGTTGTCCATTCAACAGATATCTACTGAGTGTCTATTAGGTTCCAAGCATGGCACCTGTCACTGGGAATACAGTAGTGAACAAGTCTATATATGAATTAACAGATGGCAGAGGAAGGGATAGGGTTTCTTTGTGAATTTCTGGCCTGAGTTTGTGTGCCACTGAAGCCCAGTAGCAGACTTGCCCTCCTAACAGTTCATTTTTGAGTGATGTAATAGTTAGGAGTTACTATGACCAGCTATACCAATATCTCATCTACAAAACAACTTTTCAGTTGGGTTCTGTAGCCGCAGAGTCCTTGTTATAAAGATCCCTCCATGTCCCTTGAACTGTGCAAAATGTTTAGCACATATATATACACACATGTGGCAAGCCCACACAATATACATGTATCTTGTGCTTATAATTTATAGAACTACATCAGGTAACTAGGGTGACTTACTCTTCCTGTTCTACCTTGAACTTCTCCAGTGTTAGCGATGAGAGACTACTAGTCTCTGGAGCCTCCGCAGTTCTGGGTAAACTTGAGTTGGTAGGTGAAAACATCCTAAGAAAGGAGATTTCATTTCAGGCAATCTCTTAGCTAAAGCTTTTCCTGCAGAGAATTCAATACTTTCATTTATGTAATCATCTTCTATTTAAAGGACATATTTCTCATATGGGTATTTCTTCCCTCTTCTCCCCCAGACCCCATCTATTTCTTTTATCTCTTTCTGTCCCTACTTTCTGCTTCCCAGCTGTGGCACAGCTACTCAATGTTGTAAGTCAGGGGTTGTATTAATAGACTTTCTGCTGTCTACAACATACTGCTCACTACTTGTATAAAATATAAAACACACCTCCTCTCTGTTAATGTGTCTATCAAAAGACATACATTCTACAGAAATGTAATGCACATTGGGTAATAAGTGTTATTATAGATTTACTGATTCCCTTTTCAGATCAGCTTATTTGTTTTTTTTAATTAATTTATTTATTTTTAAGATCAGCTAATTTGTAAAGAATCATACAGCTCTTTGAAGAGTGAGCAACTGTAACCTACTTTGTCTAGCTCATTTGGTCACTTAGAACTTTTAGAATTCTTAGCTTTAAGTCAAAATCACTTTTAAAAGTACTATATACCAAACAATCTAATTCTAAAGCTTTTTAAATTCATTGAAGTCAATTTCATCAAGTCAAAATATCTCAGCTTCACTGTGGCTGTTGTTCTGTTTCCCTGTCAGAAATAATCTGACATTGAGATGCTGACACTTTGGTGGTTTTAGATGACTCCAAATGATGTTACACATTTTCAAAAGGCAACTAGGTAATGAAATCATATCACTTATGCACAACATATAGCTGCTTAGCATATAATTTTGTGGTCAACAAAAAGCATGTAGTGGGCCAGTTTAGTGAGCCATTTGTCTGTATGACATTGGATATGAGGCATTTATGAGTGGTCTGGCTTTTACTCTGGCTTCAAATACCACCTTTTATCTCTTGCAATTATAGGAAGAAGACATCATACGAGAAAGCCGCTTCTATTTTCGTGGCTATGGCCTCGGACACTGCCTACAAGCAAGGGATGGAGGTCCAATGGAAGGTTCCAGAATTTATAGTCCCCAACCTCCAGCCCCTCTTCAAAAGGAGGGAGAAACCATGAGGAAACTCTATGTGGACCGAGCCAAGAGAATTGACACCATCTCCAGGGCTGTCTTTCCCTTTACTTTTCTTGTCTTCAATATCTTCTATTGGGTTGTCTATAAAGTTCTAAGGTCGGAAGACATGCACCAGGCACTGTGAACAGGGTGGGGGCTATAGTATACAGCTGCTGGCTTCCTGCTTTCACCCGGGTGGGCTTTTCCCTTCCATCAAACTCTATCAGGAGCTTCAACAGTTTCTTCTTGACTTCCCCCTCATAACTTCAACCACCAGTTCCCAAGTTATACTAGAACTGCCTAGTGCCAACAGTGGCTATACTACAAACACGGCTTATCTACTCAATCCAGATTTCCTGCTTACTCTGCATTTCTCATTGTTTGTCCATGTGCCTGATGCCAGAGTGACTGTCTGTCATTGCTGGGGATCCTCTGTGAAGAATATTTAGACTACTGGACTCTGGGTTTGGTCATCTTCATCTTTCCTACTCCCATCCAGAGCCTGCCCTTTATTTGGCACTTCTCTCCCTCCCACTGCAAGCTCAGATATGGAGTCCTTTTAGTCCACAAGTACTTCTCTAAATGACCTAGTCAGAGGCCCTTACTGAGAGAGAGACAAAAGCACGCGTTCCCACTACTTAACAAGGATGTGGCAGTCACCGGCTGCTCTGGGCTAGGGGACTGGTCCAGCAGAGAGGTTCACTTCTAGAAAAGCTACCATTTTTAGAACTGGGGCAAAAACCTAGGACTCTCAGAAAGTTTACCCTTCTAGATCTAACTAAACTTCCTTGTCCCAGAAGTATTTTCTCTAGTTCTTAATTAGGGTAGCCACAGGCTTTGTTATGCTGCTGGGTAGGAAAAAGGTGTGTGTGTGGGGGGGGGGGAGCTTATTGTTTAAGAAATGCATTTGATCATCTAGAAGAGGGGAAATGAAAGGTACTAAACCTAGGAAGAGTTCAGAAGCAATATTTAGAGAGACGCTTACGTTTTCTTCTTTTTCTCTGAAGTCTCTTAATTTCCAGGAATCTCTAACTGCACCTCCTCTTGGCAAGCGAATAATGGCACCATAAAACCTTGTTCTGAATCGCGTAGGCTTCAATGTTCCTGAGGAGAAACCAAGCATGCAGAGGGTGTCCCTATCTAGGCATCTAGAGAACTCAACCTACCTCGGGTTGTAGTTGTACAACTTAGAGAGCCATAGTTTGGGTTGTTTCTTTACCCTTTTTGTGCTTCCCTTTCTTCTTCATAGGATTCAGATACAAGAAAGGTCAGGATAGAGTGGGTTGGTGTGTCGCTCTGTGTCATAGGGATGCACTGGTCTAGTACAATGTATTCGCTGAAGTGATCTGTGAAGAACAGAGAAATGAGATGAGAAAAATACAGATATGATGATAGCAGTTGGAACACACAGACAAATAACCTCTTAAAATACTGTGTCCTTTTCTCTGGGTCCAGAATAATAATTAACTATGTAATATGAGTTCTCTTCCCTCCCTTCCAACTCCCCTCCTTCTTTCTCCCATTTCTCCCTTTCTTCTATCTCAGCTCTTAATTGTTTCTCCATTCCACATACATTCCTAATTCAAGTCAATTAAGTCCAATGGTCAATGTAAATTCTATAGTACACAGACAAGACCAGCCTTCTTTCTCCATTTTCTTACTGAATTTATCTTATTCATTGAGATACCCTTTGATCACCCTTGATTTGGGAGACAGTACTTTGGAATGACCAAGGTAGCTGGCCTAGCTTTCTTTCTTTCTTTCTTTCTTTCTTTCTTTCTTTCTTTCTTTCTTTCTTTCTTTTTCCTTTCCTTCCATTTTCTTTCTTTCTTTCTTTCTTTCTTTCTTTCTTCTTTCTCTCTTTTTTTTTTTTGAGACAAGGTCTTTCTATATATCTTAAGATATCCTGGTACTTATTTGCAGCCCAGGCTAGCCTTGAACTCATATTCCTCCTGTCTCAGCCTTCATGGTGTTAGGATTAACAGTGTGTATTACCATATTCAGATCTAGAAATTACTTTTACCAGACATGTTAGCACTCACATACAAAGAATCAAATTTAAGAATTCATTTATAGGAGGAGATTAAATTGAAAAGGGAAAAGAGAGCCCCTGTGTTCCTATTTCTGCCCAGGTAGTGCCAATCAATGAGAGGCCACAAGCAATACCCCTTTGAAAGAAGCAGAGAGTATCTCTTTGATACTGTCCCTGAAGGGGCTGGGGTGTCAGGCTGCTGCAGCCCGAAGGCGGGGACAGTGGGGGTGGACTATGGAGATGAGCTTACTGCACAGAGCTCTACTTGTTACAGATCTTGTCCAGATGGGCCAACTACACAAATCTGCGCTGTTGGAAGTCTCAAGAACAATGCCCTGGAGACAGCTACAGTACTGAGCAATAAAGGCTGTCCAACTGGGACTCAGATCAGGGCATCAGCTGGTGCTGGGTGCCGAAGAAGCCAAAGTACCAACCAACATAATAGACCAAAGGAATTCACAAAGCCACTCAGAGTCAATGCCAGGTGGAAGGTATTATCCTTCTCACTGGAGGCCCTGCAGAGGAAGTATTTGCATAATGCCAAAATCGAATCCAGTGCAAATGGATTTCAATTTTTTTTTATTCTTCCCACATATGTACAGGTCTTACTGAGGGAGTTTGACATTTAGCAATCTGTTCAATCACAAAATTGCTAAATTTTGGGTCCTTCTTACCAATGAATTGATAAAAGGTGACAGAAGAGTCTCACTTGGAGGTCATGCCCACTTAGCAGCTTTCTTGCAGTACTTACCACCCCCCGAGACCAATACTAGTTTATGTCTGAATCACATCTGATGTGATTCTGAGATTTAAACAGCATTTTTAAACGGGGGTGGGAGCTTCCTTTGAAGATAAAGTGTTTGGGATATTTTCATTAATTCTTTGTTAATATTTAATGTTGGATAAGTTTTTCATAAATATATTTTAAGAGGAAAGGCTTTATTTATTCAGTTGTTAAGGCTACTGGTATCTCCACCTCCCTTCCAGCTTGTCCTGCCTTATAGAATTGCCGTGGGTTTAGCCTCTTCTTTCCCTTTAATCTACTAGTAGGTTCTTTTGCTCTCTCCACATTCACAGGCCAAGCAAAAAGGAGCTTTCTAAGTGGAAGAAATATACTGAATAAAATACCCCCCCCCTTTATCTTTACCATAAACATTTCCCACCTATCGAAAAAGAGCAGGCACCCTTCTGTTTAAAGTGTTAGACTGATTCAAATTTACTTTTTCTTTGTGCTGAGTTGTGAAATGCCTCCCTCAACTTTATCCAGAATATATTACTTCAAAATTTTTTATCCCACCACTCAATGGTCTGTATCAGTGTTGGTATTATTAGTCTTATCTCATTATTCTAGCTACCAAAATCTCAAAAACTGGACTTGACTACTTTGGGATTCATTTTGTTGGGATGCACTGTTAAGGAACACTTACCAATCTAGTTCAGGAGCCCCCCAGGGATTAGAAAGCAAGGTTCCACTCATCAGTTCAGTGGTTGAGGGCAAGAGATGCATTTTATATAACTTTGTAGCCTGCATAGCTCTTAGTGCCTAGTAATACACAATATATGCAATTAGAATAAAAGCCTATCTTTCCACTTGCTATATCATATGTTTCTGTTCATTCCCTTTCCATTAATTTATCGAGCATAGAAAAAGAGATCTGGAAGAAAGCCTACAAAATCAGAATTCATATAGATATGTACACAATGCAATCTCCAGATATAACAGAAACAAAATTAAGAAGACACTAAAACCTTGGAGGTTCATCACTGAAAAAAAAGAATTATAATGTTCTTATTAAACATTAATACTATACCATATATTAAGACTTGGATCAAGCTATAATTAAAGTCCCAATCACTAGATAAACACTGTCAGTGACACGTGAGTAGAGTAGTGGGAATTTAGACAGCGCTACCATCTGCTTCCGCCTGTTCTACATGTTGTTTCTGTTTAGGAGACAGTCATCTCGGAAGGGAAAGCAATTAAGATGTTCCTCCCAGCCTCACATTCTGCTCTCCCACAGTCTCCAGCTCGAATGTTTATAGTCTACAAATGCAGGCTGATGGCTTATTAGTCAGATCAGCTTGTTAGTGGGCCTTAAGCTGAGGGAGAAACAGCCTCTGGGCCAATTCTCCCTCACAAACGATCTTCCCTGTGGAAAGCAAAGAAAGTCTGCTGACATGAAGCCACCTGAAGAAGCCACATGAGAACTCAACTATCACTACTACTGAGTAGCTCTTTTCTGTCCTCTGTTGTCACTGTAAAGCTTTATACAAATGCCCTGCTGTGCTATGCTTTGTGGTGTGTTACTTTAAAAAAAAAAAATGATCTCACTATTCATTTCCTAGAATAACGGGAAATTCTTGCCATCACCTGAATCTGGGGACCATTCTCGTCTTACAGAATGGATCTGGAAAAAACACAAGCAAAGTCTCTATTTTACTAGCTTCCTTTCATGACAATTTGATGTTGAAGACAGTGCGATACTTTAGTACCAGACAGAGCCTAGATCTGAACGACAATTCCCTCAGCCTCGGTTTCTTCTACAATGCTTGAAGAAATCCACGACACAGTAACTACATAACCTTGACCAAATGACTGAACTATTCTGCACCTTGGCCATCACATCTGTTAGTGAAAGATAACAGTAACTACCTCGGAGTGTCACTGTGGGAATTCGACAATGCAAGTACTTAACTCAGAATGTAGCACACGGTAAATTGCTCAATAAAAATTAGCTATTGCCTAAAAGTCTCTCTTCCTCACCTGTCAAGTTTCTAATACTTGGACCTGTTTAGGACTTCACATTTCCAAATTAAGTATGGGCTTCTCTCTAAAGCCGCACTCGCAAGAAAAGCCAGGCTACAATCACTTCTCTTACATTATCAGTCTTTTCGGTGGCACTAGACACTTACTAAGATACAGCATGCTTTAAAAAACTGTCCATGGGAAATTGCTGAATATCTCTGAGCCTTAGTCAGTTTCTTTATGCTTTGTTTGGTTTCAGGCACGTACAACCTGCAGCTAATAGTCTGTCTATGTTACAGGACAGGTATAAATTTCTACAACACATTTGTAGACCACAACACCATGCTGCCAATGTCAAACAACAGAGAAATGGGGGGAATGAACATGAATTTCTCTCAAAATGAAGAATAGAAACTCCTATCTGCTGGGCGGTGGTGGCGCACGCCTTTAATCCCAGCACTCAGGAGGCAGAGACAGGTGGATCTCTGTGAGTTCGAGGCCAGCCTGGTCTACAAGAGCTAGTTCCAGGACAGGCTCCAAGGCTACAGAGAAACCCTGTCTCGAAAAACCAAAGGGAAAAAAAAAACTACTATCCATCTGCCTTTGGACTTCTCTGTAAGTATTATTCTAGTGCCCCACTTCTAGTTACCATCAAGTTCCTTCAAATAAATGCCTTCACTATGATTCCCACACCCCTCCTCATCAATTACTCCTTATTGTTGTAATCTCTTGCTTCTTCCTCCTACCCAGTCTTCAAATGCTCTCTCTGTATTCCTTATACTGCCTTCAGAATTGCTATATTAAGTCAAAGCTTTTCTAATCTCTCATGCTTCACTCTCTCACATTTGCCACAGCTGCCACATCTGCTTTGCCACATCTCTTCTGCCGTGGCTTTCAGTCTCCAGTTCTTGCTTCTCTGACCATTTGTTAGTTGTGTGTGTGTGAGTGTGTGTGTGTGTAGAGCATATACATGACTATGCAGGTAACGCACCTATATGCACACATGTGAAGGCCAGAAGAGGATGTCAAGTGTCTTCCTCTACCACTCTCTGCCTTACTTCCTGAGCCCCAGGTTTCTCACTAAACTGAGAGCTCACTGTTTTGACTAGACAGGCTGCCCAGCAGCTCCCAAGATCTGCCTGACTCAGCCCCACAAATGCTGGGCTTACAGGCATTTATAGCCAGACATTATTGAATTTGTTCCGTTCTCTTTAGTTTTGTTTTTTGAGACAGGGTTTCTCTGTGTAGCACTGGCTGTCCTGGAACTCCCTCTGTTGACTATGCTGCCAAAACTCACAGAGACCCGTCTGCCTCGGCCTCCCAGGTACTGGGATTAAAGGTATGTGCCACCACCACCCTGTCCATTCTGGGATTTTTAACATGGCTGTTGGAGGTATTTAACTCAGCTCCTCCTATTACGCAGTTAGTGGTATTCCGTATTGAGCCATCTCCCCAGCCCCTTGAGTTCTTATTCTTCAGACATTCTATTCATTGCTGAGTTCACAGATCTTCACTGTACACTAAAGCTTCAATGTTTGTAACCATTTTCATGGCTAGGACAACCAATA